ATATATATATATATATATATATATTGCATTCAAAGTTCCTATCTCACACTAACACTGTCAATGCTATGATTTGCATGTAAACTATGGGCTTCAAAGTGTTACAACAGTTTTCAGTCAGTTTAAGCACACTGGTAAAACAATGAATTCAATACTGCATCATGCTGTTCTACTCTTTTTGCATAAAGTGAAAGAAAACTACCAGGCAAACTAAGGATTGAATGACAGAACAAATGACCCTGCCCACTTTGCGGATCTGGCTCCTAACCTCTATGTTGAACAGAATTGTTTTTTAATCCCCCCGATATGTTAATCTGTCTTTCAATGTATTTAGCCAGTCTGGGTTCTGAATGCTATATGTATGTAACTTTCACTTTAAAAAAAAAAAGGAATCTAGGGCTGGAAAGATGACTCAGTTGTTAAGAGCACTGGCTATTCTTGCAGAACACCAGCGTTCGATTATGACAGCTAACTCTACTTCCAGGGGATTCAATACTCTTTTCTGACTTCCCTGAGCATTGCAGAAGAGAAGTACATTTACCTCCATGCAGGCAATACACACATACATGTAAAATAAAATTAGTAATGTTTAAAGGAATCCACAGTCAAATGTACAATATAATGATGAAAATCTTTAAATATTGGCAATAACTTCTTCCAAGTTGGTTTGATCATTAAACCCTTGGCACATTCAGTAAGTACAACTCTTTTTATACGTGTACATCCACTCCAAGAGCTTCCAAATACCACTTCTAGTTAGAGGCCAGGTCTAAAACATGTACTTATGGAAACAATGAGTTCAAACCAAACAAAACTCTATGTTCAAATCAAAGAAGTAAAAAAGGACACCAGGTTAAAAACAAGTCAGTAATCTATGGTCCATAGGTCAAATAGAACCAGCTGCATTTTTTTGTACTGTCTGCATGTACTACACTTTCTAAGGGTTAGGAGAGAAAAGATCAAGAATAATTTTTTTTGCAATGTTAGATTTATATGAAATTGAAACTTTAGTGTTCATTGGAAAATAAGTATGTCAATTTGTTTATGTAGTTCCTATGGCTGTTTTCACACCAAAATGGAAGAGTTGACTACAAGTCAAAGACCATAGATTCCCTGGGCAAAATCTCAATTACCATTGTTTTTGGTAAAGTTGTATTGGAACATAAAACATGATCACTTACGTACCTGTTACTAGGACAAAGTAGAAGAGTTTTCAAAGACCATATAATGGCTGAAAAGCCTGAAATATTTACTATCTGGCCTTTTACCAAAAAAGTTTGCCTAGTCCTAAGCTAACATTTCAACATTCACAAATGGGCTAGAGTTGTCCCACTGTGCTCAAGGAGATGCAAGATTCTAACTTTATCATAGACATAGCTGCTTCTATGAACACTGGTAGAATTCCATTGGTAGATTGGAGTTCACCAATAAGGCCAGTAACCTGAACATGCAACTTGGAAACCCTGGGCCTGATGTTTGCACCATAAGAAAGCTTAGCACCAAAGCAGGCTCCATTGCAAATAGCTTATTACGTTCTACCCAGTGTTATATAGATGCCTTGGATAAGACACTTATAAACTACTCTTAGAAGCAACTAAACAAAACTCTATCCACAAATCAAACAAGCAAAAAATTAGCTCTAAGTCTCTTGCAAAGTGCAAAGTGTCACTTTTATGATGTAAATATCCAATCATACAGATCAAAATGCTTAGGCAACTGACAATATAACTCAAATGGCAATGTGTATTTATAGATACACATGGAAGATGATATATTTGAATATGAAATGATGGTACATGTGTAAAGAAGTGAGCAATGTTTCATTACAACCAACAATACATCATCTTACAATATTCAACAGAAATTAAATGATTTATAATAAAGTAAAAAACCACACACAACCAGCTGAATTGACTATAAATGTTGGATAGGTAATAGGGACGTAGATCAGCAGTAGAGCACTTGCCCTTCATGGCTGAAGCCCTTAGATGAATCTCTAGCAAAATCAAAATAATAATAGTATTAACCATCAATATCATCACATGAATTTATGAACATAAATAAATAAATGATGGTCCAACGAATGGGAAGACTTACATTTTGTGTGACACATAGGTGAAAGATAACAAAACCTGAGACAGGTAACTGACAGTGAAGAGTCTCACTGACTCTGGTCAGACCTGCGTATAAACTGCACCCTTTGAGGTAGCTATTTTTTCCAAACACTGAACCCTAAATAAGGAATGGCACCTTACATATAGGCTTACCCCTTGGGCAGTGGATGGCACAAACTACCTTCACATGTGCTCTGTGGCATCTGGTTTCCTCATAACTAGATTTCTTCTACAATCAACTCTCTTCTCCTCCCTCTTTCCTTCTCCTATCATCTCCACTTCTTCTCTACTAGAATTTTCTCCATAGTTCATCCTTTCATCTGACATGCTAAAATTTTTACCTAGTTATTTAATTATCACCTCTCTGCCCATGTAAAAAGTGTCATCAGGGGACTCAGTGGGTAAGAGCACTGACTGCTCTTGTAGAGGACCCAGGCTCAAATCCCAGTACCCAAATGGTGGCTAACAACCAACTATAATTTGAGTTCCAGGGCATCCAACACACTCTTCTGACCTCTGTGGGTATTGTACAACATGGGTGCACTTACATATATGCAAGCAAAACACTTATACACATAAAATAAAAATAATAAATAAAATATTGTTTTAA